TTTCCCCTTTTATGGCTGCTAGTTTTTGCCTTATGTATTGAGGTGCTCCTATGTTGGGTGCATAAATATTTACAATTGTTATATCTTCTTCTTGGATCGATCCCTTAATCATTATGTAGTGTCCTTCTTTGTCTCTTCTGATAGTCCTTATTTTAAAGTCTATTTTGTCTGATATGAGAATTGCTACTCCAGCTTTCTTTTGGTTTCCATTTGCATGGAATATCTTTTTCCATCCCCTTACTTTCAGTCTGTATGTGTCTCTAGGTCTGAAGTGGGTCTCTTGTAGACAGCATATATATGGGTCTTGTTTTTGTATCCATTCAGCCAATCTGTGTCTTTTGGTGGGAGCATTTAGTCCATTTACATTTAAGGTAATTATCGATATGTATGTTCCTATTCCCATTTTCTAAATTGTTTTGGGTTCGTTATTATAGGACTTTTCCTTCTCTTGTGTTTTTGTCTAGAGAAGTTCCTTTAGCATTTGTTGTAAAGCTGGTTTGGTGGTGCTGAACTCTCTCAGCTTTTGCTTGTCTGTAAAGGTTTTAATTTCTCCATCAAATCTGAATGAGATCCTTGCTGGGTAGAGTAATCTTGGTTGCAGGTTTTTCTCCTTCATCACTTTCAGTATGTCCTGCCACTCCCTTCTGGCTTGTAGAGTTTCTGCTGAGAGATCAGCTGTTAACCTTATGGGGATTCCCTTGTGTGTTATTTGTTGTTTTTCCCTTGCTGCTTTTAATATGCTTTCTTTGTATTTAGTTTTTGACAGTTTGATTAATATGTGTCTTGGCGTATTTCTCCTTGAATTTATCCTGTATGGGACTCTCTGTGCTTCCTGGACTTGATTAACGATTTCCTTTCCCATATTAGGGAAGTTTTCAACTATAATCTCTTCAAATATTTTCTCAGTCCCTTTCTTTTTCTCTTCTTCTTCTGGAACCCCTATAATTCGAATGTTGGTGCGTTTAATGTTGTCCCAGAGGTCTCTGAGACTGTCCTCAGTTCTTTTCATTCTTTTTTCTTTATTCTGCTCTGCAGTAGTTATTTCCACTATTTTATCTTCCAGGTCACTTATCCGTTCTTCTGCCTCATTTATTCTGCTATTGATCCCATCTAGAGTATTTTTCATTTCATTTATTGTGTTGTTCATCATTGTCTGTTTCATCTTTATTTCTTCTAGGTCCTTGTTAACTGCTTCTTGCATTTTGTCCATTCTATTTCCAAGATTTTGGATCATCTTTACTATCATTATTCTGAACTCTTTTTCAGGTAGACTGCCTATTTCCTCTTCATTTGTTAGGTCTGGTGGGTTTTTATCCTGCTCCTTCATCTGCTGTGTGTTTTTCTGTCTTCTCATTTTGCTTATCTTACTGTGATTGGGTTCACCTTTTTGCAGGCTGCAAGTTCGTAGCTCCCGTTGTTTTTGATGTCTGTCTCCAGTGGCTAAGGTTGGTTCAGTGGGTTGTGTAGGCTTCCTGGTGGAGGGGACTAGTGGCTGTGTTGTGGTGTATGAGGCTAGATCTTGTCTCTCTAGTGGGCAGGTCCACGTCTGGTGGTGTGTTTTGGGGTGTCTGTGGACTTATTATGATTTTAGGCAGCCTCTCTGCTAGTGGGTGGGGTTGTGTTCCTGTTTTGCTATATGGTTGGCATAGGTTGTCCAGCACTGTAGCTTGCTGGTCGTTGAGTGAAGCTGGGTGCTGGTGTTGAGATGGAGATCTCTGGGAGATTTTCGCCGTTTGATATTATGTGGGGCTGGGAGGTCTCTTCTTGACGAGTGTTCTGAAGTTGGCTCTCCCACCTCAGAGGCAGAGTCCTGACTCCTGGCTGGAGCAGCAAGAGCCTTTCATCCACTCGGCTCAGAATAAAAGGGAGAGAAAGTAGAGAGAATTAGTAGAAGTAGGAGGAAATAGGAAAGAAAGAAAGAAAGAAAGAAAGAAAGGAGGGAAGGAAGGAAGGAGGGAAGGAAGAAAGAAAGAAAGAAGAAAAGAAAGGAAGAAGGCAAGAAGGAAAGAAAGGAGGGAGGGAGGGAGGAGGGAAGGAAGGAAGGAATGAGGGAAGGAAGGAAAAAATACAGAAAGAAAGAAGATACAGTAAAATAAAATAAAGTATAATAAAGTTATTGAATTAAAAAAATAATTATTTAGAGAAAAAAAAAAAGGGAAGGATAGAACCTTAGGACAAATGGTGGAAGCAAAGTTATAGAGACAAAATCTTACATAGAAGCATACACATATACCCTCACAAAAAGAGGTAAAGTGGAAAAAATCATAAAACTTGCTCTCCAAGTCCACCTCCTCAATTTGGGACGATTCGTTGTCTCAAAAAGGGAAGGAAGGAAGGAAAGATAGAAAGAAGGTAAAGTATAATAGAGTTCTTTAAATTAAAATTAATTATTAAGAAAAAAATTTAAAAAAAAAAAAGATCGGATAGAACGCTGGGACAAATGGTGGAAGCAAACCTATACAGACAAGATCTCACACAGAAGCATACACATACACATTCACAAAAAGAGGAAAAGGGGAAAAAATCATAGATCTTGCTCTAGAAGTCCGCCTCCTCAATTTGGGATGATTCGCTGTCTATTCATGTATTCCACAGAGGCAGGGTACATCAAATTGATTGTGTAGCTTTAATCCGCTGTTTCTGAGGCTGCTGGGAGAGATTTCCCTTTTTCTTCTTTGTTCTCACAGCTCACAGGGGCTCAGCTTTCGATTTGGCCCTGCCTCTGCGTGTAGGTCGCTGGAGGGCGTCTGTTTTTTGCTCAGACAGGACGGGGTTAAAGGAGCCGCTGACTCGGGGGCTCTGGCGCACTCAGGCCGGGGGCAGGGAGGGGCACGGAGTGCGGGGCGGGCCTGCGGCGGCAGAAGTCGGCGTGACGTTGCAGCAGCCTGAGGCCCGCCGTGTGTTCTCCCTGAGAAATTGTCCCTGGGTCCCGGGAACCTGGCAGTGGCGGGCTGCACAGGCTCCCCGGAAGAGGGGTGGGGGCAGTGACCTGTGCTCGCACACAGGCCCCTTGGTGGCGGCAGCAGCAGCCTTAGCGTCTCCCGCCCGTCTCTGGTTTCCGAGCTTTTAGCCGCGGCTCGCGCCCGTCTCTGGAGCTCCTTTAGGCAGCGCTCTTAAAACCCCTCTCCTCGCGCACCAGGAAACACAGAGGCAAGAAAAGGTCTCTTGCCTCTTGGGTAGGTCCAGACTTTTCCCCGGACTCCCTCCCGGCTAGCCGTGGCGCACTAACCCCTTCGGGCTATGTTCAAGCCGCCAACCCCAGTCCTCTCCCTGAGCTCCGACCGAAACCGAAACCGAGCCTCAGCTCGCAGCCCCGCCCGCCCCCGGCGGGTGAGCACACGAGCCTCTCGGGCTGGTGAGCGCCGGTCGGCGCCGATCCTCTGTGCGGGAATCTCTCCGCTTTGCCCTCCGCGCCCCTGTTGCTGTGCTGTCCTCCGCGGCTCCGAAGCTCCCCGCTCCGCCTCCCGCAATCTCTGCCCGCGAAGGGGCTCCTAGTGTGTGGAGACCTTTCCTCCTTCACAGCTCCCTCCCACTGGTGCAGGTGCCGTCCCTATTCTATTGTCTCTGTTTTTAATTAATTTTTTCTTTTGCCCTACCCAGGTACGTGGGGAGTTTCTTGCCTTTTGGGAGGTCTGAGGTCTTCTGCCAGCGTCCAGTAGGTGTTCTGTAGGAGTTGTTCCACATGTAGATGTATTTCTGGTGTATTTGTGGGGAGGAAGGTGATCTCCGCGTCTTACTCCTCCGCCATCTTTCCACCGCTAGAGCTAAATACATTTTTGAACTTGTTATTCATTAAAATTGATTCTGATTACATATATTTTCTAAAGATTCTCTTGGAAAAGCATTACAGTATGAACCAGTGCCATAAGGTTAGTGGAATTGTAAAAGAAAATAGGGCCACGAAAGAAGGAATCAAATAAACCAACCACAATAACTATACTGAAATAACAACTTGCTTCTAAAAAATATAGGCAGCTAGAACAAAGCAGCATAGTATTATTTAGTCCTCATTATCTCATAGGAGGAAAACAACAGTTCCTTTGGGGAAAGTTAGTTTTCCTTGATCCCAAAGTTCAGGAAAACTCTAATAGTGGACCTGACGTAGGAGATAGTAGCATAATTTTAACATAATTAACTCAATAAATATTTATTGAGGACTGTTAAATGTTCTTGGATGTTTCAGTTTGCTAATTTTAGGAGGGGAAGGAAAGCAGGATAAAATTTGACATTATTTGTTTACCAAGTGGTGGGAGGACAGATAAGTAAACAGATCATTGCATAAAAAGTGGTAAGTACTTTAAGTAGTATAAGCATAGAGTTGCTCTGTACAGAAGCGCTTACTCAGAGGATGAGGGTTGAGGAAGACTTCTCTGAGAAGGTGATTCATGATGTTGGAACCAAGCTTTGAAAAACATTTGGAAGTTATGACAGAATGGGGTTTGGTGTTGAAAAGGAAAGAAGCCTTGGACAGAGAAAAAGGACACTGTAGCCTCCGAGAGCAGCATATATAAAAACCCAGATGCAAGAAAGAGTATTGGGCTTCTCAGTTGCTAAAGCCTTAAGCAGGGGCCTAACCGTGCAGGGTCTCATTTTCACGTTAAGCAATTTTGCATAATCAGAGACTACTGAGGAATTGCTGAAAGTGTTATGTTAGGGGTTGACATGATAGATTGGTAATTTTAAAAGATCATGGGACATGTAGTATGGAGATACAAATTAAAAGGGAGCAAGACTGAAGCCAGAGGTACTTGTTAGGAGGTATCTGGAGTGGCGATAATGATGTCAGTGATAATATCACTCCCAGAAGAATGCTAATCAGCAGTGACCTCCATAATAGTGCAGAATGAACACAGCATCATGTCTCATGACCGTTTCTCTTCATGGCCTGCAATAAAAACACTCAACATTGCTTTTCAGTAAAGGTGATTTCAGATATTTTTAATATGCTGTGGAAAATTTTCCTTCATGATGGAATTCCTCTTCTCTAAAAATTTTATTAGAACTATCATATGCTTGGATCTTCAATGAATACCCGTCATTTGTCGAAGAAGATAGTCGGAGATTTGTCTCTCAAGAGACAGGCCACCTCTACATAGCCAAGGTGGAGCCACTGGATGTGGGAAATTACACGTGTGTGGTGACTAGTATGGTGACAAACGCCAGAGTGCTGGGTTCTCCAACTCCTTTGGTGCTACGTTCTGATGGTAGGAAATGTTTCAAAGGGTAATTCTGAGTGGAAATGCTGTTGCGAATACAAGGAAAAACAAATTGAGAGAAGTGAAAAGTATATCCTGAGAATTATCATTTTGGTTTTTTTCAGGAGAAAAAATATTTACGAGTACAATGGCTAAAATGATTCCATCAACCATAGGTCCCTGTACATAATTCTTACTCAGGACTGGCTTCTTAATTTGCAGGGACCAGTGCAGAATGAAAATGAGGAGTCACTTGTTCAAAAATTAGGAAGAATTTCAAGATGGTGACAATAGGTCATTAAGCCAAACGCGAGGCCCTCTGAGCCTGGGGCTCACCTTGCGTTCCCGTGATGTCAGCGGTCCTGATTTTTGCCAGCTTGAGGTTATTAAAGCTCTGGATATTTTGTTACAGGCTAAAAAGTATCTCTAAAGAAAATTAAAAGAAAAAGTGTGTACATTAGATCCCTAGAACTTATTCATCTTATTATTGAAAGTTTGTACACTTTGACCAACATCTCCCGCATTCCCCTACCCTCACCAGCATAGTGATTATATAGTAACGTTGTGTTGTGTACTTGAAATTGGCTTAGAGGGTAGATCTTAAGTGTTCTCACTACAGAAAAAAATTTTAATTTTAAAAATTGAAAATAGTAATTGTGAGATGTTAAATGTGTTAACTTGACTGATGTAATCATTTCACAGTGTGTACATATATGAAATCATCACATTGTACGCCCTAAAAAAATCACGTTGTACAACCTAAATACATGCAGTGTTTATTTGTCAGTCATACCTCAATAAAACTGGAGGGGAAAAAAGGAAAACAGGTGTTTCTTCAGCCCCTCAGTGACTGTTTCAAGGGAGACCATGAACTGCAGAGTAAGCAGATTTGGAAGCTTGGGTAACTGTCCCACTTATGCAAAACCGTATCTGATACAGCACAATGCCATGGCCACAAAATACTTTCCAGTCAGTTATCGTTGAATTTGACCTTTCCCATTTATTAAGTTACCATTTCTTGTCTCCTGGTAGTCAATAAGTTTAAGATTGGTGTCTATGCTACCAGGGTACCATTAAGTAAATTTCCTCCCATAATTTTTGCTCTTTAGGATATTTTAAGAACTCATAATACATTGTATATTTTGGTTTGACTAGAAATGTCCAGATTGAATACAGAATAAAAAAGCCTCTCGTTCTATATAATGTAAAAGGCCTAGTGCTTTTCTCAGAACTGCTCTGTAAGCTGTAACTTAGGAATCACGGAATCCAAAGTTCCCACATATTTATTAATGTCGCAAGTTTGGCCCAAGGTAGCACTGCTTCTAAAAGTACCTACCAGACGGCTAGTGAGTAATTCAAATCATAAGGAAGAGTTCAAAACAGAGCAAAAAAAAAAGTTTTAAGAAAAATGGGACAATTCCAAAGGAAACGTTGAAACCATTAACTTTGTATTGTGGATTCACAGGAGTGATGGGTGAATATGAACCGAAAATAGAAGTTCAGTTTCCAGAAACTCTTCCAGCAGCTAAAGGTTCAACTGTGAAGTTGGAATGTTTTGCCCTTGGAAAGTAAGTTTTATAACATTTATACCGATACGCTAAAATATTAGGTTGCTGTAAGAGATCAAGATAGCTTTTAACAGCCTCTTACTTTCCTTATTTTCTAAAATTTTCTTTCATTTAGAAGCAAAGAAAAAATTAAAATACAGGAGAAATGCACATGTATAATTTAGTTTGAAACTTTAAAGATTTACGGAGGATGACTATGCCTGCCTAATTTCATAAACTAAATTGGTGTTATTTTTCTTTTGCTTGTTCATTTGTTGTATTATAATACAGTGAGTATACATTAGACTTTTTTCTCTAAATCATGAATTAACTAGAGAAAATGCACAGTTTATTTTATTAAAATATCAACTTAAAGAGATAAATCTTTGCATTTGCAGGTTTATGTGACTGACAACTGGCTGTGTTCTGCATTTGAAAATCTGTGCCTTTTTTGTTCTATCCTAAGAAAGTTTTATTTTGTCAAGCCTAAAAGGCTTCCAGACATCTGTTTAAAATAGCAAATAACTTGACGAATTTCTTCTTAGTCCTGTACCTCAGATTAATTGGAGAAGAAGTGATGGACTGCCTTTTTCCACTAAAATTAAATTGAGGAAGTCCAATGGTGTGCTTGAAATCCCCAACTTCCAACAGGAAGATGCAGGTTCCTATGAATGCATTGCTGAGAATTCACGAGGAAGAAATGTCGCCAGGGGGCGTCTCACTTACTATGGTGAGCCTTCACTTTGGGCATATTGGATTTTTAACTTTCGATCTCTCTAAAAGTTATTGTTATTGGGACTGGGTGGGGGTGAGTAGGAGGTTTTAGCAGAATCCCAGTGTCCAACTTTTTCTGTTCTACATTTTTTTAAATGAGGATATCTATCATAGAAGGAATTTTAAAAAATTAATTTTTGCAATGAAGTTGGAGGCATGATATACTCTTACTGCTTTTTAAACTGATTGATATATGGTAATGAAATATTTCACTTTTTTTCCTAAGAGTAACCATTTACTCACTTAACCGTAACAAGGAGAGATCTTTCTATCGGCCCTTAGCTCTAGAAAATGGGATTTTGTATCTTTCTTTATGGTCTTTACTAAGCCGAAGGAAACTGTCTCCTGGGAAAACTTGCAGTTACTGCATTAGACAAACCACATAAACCCAGGCTTACTTGACTTCCTCAGTGTTATTCTATCCTTTCCAATAGCGTAGGTGTACCATGTTTGCTGCCTTTAATTTGTAAGCACATTTATTTGATGTACTGCTCAATTTGGGTAAAGAAAGGTTAGTAACGTTACCTTTATTTAAAGTCTATTTGTAGGAAAATTAGATTATCCTGTTTCCCCAAACTTGTTTTCAAATCCCTTTTATTAAAAAAATGTACTAGGTATTTTGATGAAAGCAGGTTTTAGAAAGCAGAAATAAATGGTTTTACAAAATGTACTATTAAATATGGGAAGATGTAAGCTCAGTGAATATATTTTTGCAGTTTAATCATTAGAAACATTGTAAAACTAATAGGAATTGAACACTTTTGTGAAAAGCAAATGGCAATATATTCTGTTTATTTTAAAAACTGGAATTTGAAATAATTTTCAGTGCAAACTTGTACAGCATATGAAATGTTTCAGAGAGGAAAAACTTCGCAAAGACAAATATTAAAATTATAGAGCTTATTATGAACCCCTTCAAAAGAATGTGAAGTTTGTGCGTACATTATGTGTGATTAGATTGACACTTATTTTATGGTAAGGCTATAGGATCCATCAGGAACAAAATGGAGGCATGGTTTAATAGCATGAGTCATTCTGTGTTCTAACTCTCCCATCTTGTAACAGGATTAGGTTAGAATACGTAGCACCAAGTTGGAGTTTCCCAGGTGTCAAGTTCTACATGTTGGTGGGATGATATGGAGATAAGTTGGAGACACTTAACCCATGTGGCTGTATGGCTCTAAGTCGACCGCAAACAAGTCCTAGTTTATTTTCTCCTTTCTAATCAGCCACTACCTGACCCAGGGTAAGAAGTGACCATGACAGGAAAACACAGGATATTCCAACTGTCTTAATGTTTCAATAGGAATGTTTTTATCTGTATGGAACAGCGACCCTGCACAAATAATAAAACGCTTGTATGGCAAGACATCCAAAGCTAAGTTGACATTTATGTGCGTTATATTCAGGTCCTGGCACATTTTCTCTGTGGTGTGTTTTCTGCCCTTATCTACTTTTTCCCTTTCTCTGCATGTTGGTTGCCCTTACAGTCACAGAATGGCTACCAGCAGTGGCTAGCACATGAGTTTTTGTTCGTCCTTCCTTACTCTAAAACATCTTGCAATTCACTTCTCAAATCTCACTGGCTGCGTGTTCATTCCTAAACCAATCACCAGCTAGGAGAATTGGCTTAAACAACTTAAGAGCCTCTTTTTGGAACATGGAATATGGTCAGGTTTCCCTGGATTTTGTGGGCAATGTGAGGTGATGGACGAGAGGATAATTCAACGAAAAGTTGGGTCATCTTAGAAATAAAGAAGAGAAGAAATGGATGCACAATAGACAACCAACGTCATCCACTATTATTAGTAAATGAGGTAGGCTGTTGCTTTAGTCCATTATGTGGGTAATAGGATATGTACCTAAGAAACAAATTAGAGATAATGAGATAGATGGACTTCCCTGGCAGTCCGGTGGTTAAGACTTTGCACTTCCACTGCGGGGGATGCGGGTTCGATCCCCAGTTGGGGAACTAAGATCCCACATGCCGCGTGAGCCAGCCACAGAAAAAAAAAAAAGATAAAAAGAAAAGAAATAAATGAGATAGAGAGTTTCATGAAAGCTACTTTACAGTTCTGGCTTAAGACTAGTATATTCAGGGCTTCCCTGGTGGCGCAGTGGTTAAGAATCTGCCTGCCAATACAGGGGACACGGGTTCAAGCCCTGGTCTGGGAAGATCTCACATGCCGTGGAGCAACTAAGCCAGTGCGCCACAACTACTGAGCCTGCGCTCTAGAGCCCTTGAGCCACAACTGTTGAGCCCACCTGCCACCAACTACTGAAGCCCACTTGCCTAGAGCCTGTGCTCCACAACAAGCCACCTCAATGAAAAGCCTACCCGCTGCAACGAAGATTAGCCCCTGCTTACTGCAACTAGAGAAAGCCACCCACGGCAACAAAGACCCAACATGGCCAAAAATAAATAAATAAAATAAATTTATTTTTTAAAAAAGACTAGTATATTCAGTAAATGCTGCGCAGTTCTCTGCTTATCTGCTCTAATATTTCATGTAAAAAATGGTCCAGTAGAATATTTGAATCTCATATGATGGAATAAGGGGAAAAATCACAATAAATGTACCATTTGTAATCCCAGGATTGGCTTAGACCAGCAAATTATCTTCCCATTTGGAGAATAGTAATATGAGGAGCCAGTGGAAATTTTTGCTAGAAACTTGAGTCTCAGTCAAGGGATCATGTGTGAGTTTATTTGTAGTCTCCATCCACCGAGGCTGATAATTCCTGAAAGAAGAAAATGTGTTTTAATATAGAGTAGAGAGGAGTGATTTGGGACTGAACTACACTTCAGACTGGGCAAGTCGTTTATATTTTTTAAAAAACAAAATAAGGTAAAACTCAGATGGGTACATTTTCTCTAAAATCGAAATAGCTATATTTTCATTTCAATTTCAGTTATAAAAAAAGCAATTTTATGAGATAGAAAGGGAAAGACAAACCTTCCCATGGTTGAAATTAAATAGAAATAGATAAACTGTTTCTCCATATGGAGGATGCAAATGTGAACCCCGAAGTATACATCCCATGCATAATGCAATGTGAAACCAGGAAGACATCTCACCTCCTAGTCTTGGGTCTAAAACACAAGCTGAGACTTGACTGAATATACTGTGAGTATTGAATGACTTTCATTATGAGTGGTACATTGCTTTCATCTGTAAAAGGATTTCCCAAGTGTCTTCTAAAATGTAAGTAAAAATGACAACTGAACCTGATGCAACTGATTTGCATACATCATTTAAGGTGGCACGAGTTACTTCTTTTTCATAAAACATCATTTGATTCAAATTGAAGCAATTTATCCATCTTTCCCTGCCTACATTTTCATTTGCACATAGGTTCGTAAGATGTTCACTAGTTTGTATTTAATTAAGAGTTATTTCTAAGTTGAAGGAAATATTTTTTTCCTCCACTGTAGAAGTTTCTCTTCTATGGATGCTGATTTTTAGTGCAAATTTAGACTAGTATCTGCTGTCATTCACATATTAAGTTGTTATCAATTGTGATCTCATAATTCAAAAATGCACTTGGAGAAGAAAATCTATTTTGTGTACCTGCATTTTTTTCCTACTAATAGACATCTGAAGAGTGTAATACAGTGCCCAGAATTTCAAAAACAGAGAAAGCATAATGAGTTTGACGTAGGAAAAGGCAGATTGTAACATCCATCCTCAAATATAGAAATGTTTCATATACCCACTTAGTAAATACTTAGGGAATTAAATATAATTTTAGCCACTATGCTTACGTTAATCTATTATTGCCCATAGTCATATCCATTTATGTGGATAAAGTATTTGTCTTTTATTGTGGAGTGGTTTGAATTTCTTTCCTTTTTCATTGCAGCAAAGCCTCATTGGGTTCAACTCATAAAAGATGTGGAAATAGCTGTGGAGGACAGTCTTTACTGGGAATGTCGAGCGAGTGGTAAGCCCAAACCCTCCTACCGGTGGTTGAAAAATGGAGAAGCCCTTGTTCTCGAGGTAAGGTAACATGCCTGTCCCCACTTTGTGTAAATAAATGCCTTCCCTAGTGACCAGTGCCAGAGTCAACTGGTGAGTTTGCATACATTCATCTGAACAGTTCATACCATGTTCATCTAAGAAGTGGTACAGAGGTAAAAAGGATAAAGTCAGGTACTCAGTGTGCCAAGGAGGAAATATTTACAATATTGAATTTCATTGGGAAAAGGTGATTTTATGAATTTAGTACATAAAATGATATACTGTCAACCCATGAACAATGCAGGCATTAATCCTCGTATAATTTATAACCTGTCCTCTGTGTCCTCAATTCCTCTGCATCCACAGATGCAGCCAACCAGGGACCGTGTAGTCCTGTAGTATTTACTATTGAAAAAGTATCTTCAAATGAGTGGACCCCTGTAGTTCAAACCTTGTTGTTCAAGGGTCCACTGCATTATATTTTTTCATTTTGAAATTAGAGAAGGCTTTACGTTAATAAAATGTAGACTGTAATTTCCTTTTTCCTGTTTGATAACTTGCATGGCCTCTGGAGAATAAATGTGTCGATTACTTCATTACCTTGTTACATGAGTACTTATTTTCTCAATCACTTCTCTTCTCAAGCCAGGTAATTTTTGCTCTTTTTAAAAATTGTATACTAAGTCAGTTATGTTCCTTCAAATTTCTATGCATAACCATTCATAATACCTGCGAACCTTCAATAAATGTGTTTCCCAGAACCCTTTTTAATGCACAATTTATAATACCTTCAATTTGCATGATTTTAAAAACTGGTGAGAACCTTTCCAGTTGATGGGGTGGGAAGCATGGTAGATTTCTTAAAGTCTGCAACTTTATCCACAGGGAAAAATGAAATAGTTGCAGTATTTTACGTTGTGCTTTGTTATTTATTTTACTGATATACTTTTTGATTGGAGGATGTTTATTAGTATTTCCAATGTCTAGCTGTTATGTTAAGTCATTCTCACTGTTTCAAATAAGCGAAACGTTTAAATTTTAGGTCAGTTTGCCTAATCCCATGAGAAAAATTAAGGAGGTTTGTGTATGATTGAAATAATATTCAGTGGTTATCTTTTTTCTTCTAAATTGGTATATACAATACATTTTTATTATCATCTAGGGGAGAACACAGATAGAAAATGGTGCCCTTACAATATCCAACCTAAATGTGACCGATTCTGGCATGTTCCAGTGCATAGCAGAGAACAAACATGGTCTCGTCTATTCCAGTGCTGAGCTCAAGGTTGTGGGTAAGACTAATTTTCTTGTCTTATTAATTTTTTTCTTAAATCCTCCATACTTGCCAGAAGCAGAAATATTTACTTCTCATATTAGATTCCTACATCTAATAACATTTTTAGTATCACAGCAGAATCATGCAGGGTTTCTAATCAAGGCACACATTTTAATGATTTCTAAAGGAAAGTAGCAATTATGACCAGAATTAAGGCCCAAAGATTGAAGAAGAGAAGCAACAGGGAGAGAGTGTTGACCTAAGACCTCCTTATTATCCAACTCCAGCAGTACCAACTAAGTAGTACCTTTTAAGAGAATAAGTGACTCTACTGTTCTCTGTTGCTGGTCCATAAAAGTAAATATCAGAATTCAAATCAGGGCTTCCCTGGTGGTGCAGTGGTTGAGAGTCCGCCTGCTGATGCAGGGGAGACGGGTTCGTGCCGCGGTCCGGGAAGATCCCACATGCCGCGGAGCGGCTGCGCCCGTGAGCCATGGCCGCTGAGCCTGCGCGTCCGGAGCCTGTGCTCCGCAACGGGAGAGGCCACAACAGTGAGAGGCCCGCGTACCGCAAAACAAACAAACAAAAAAATTCAAATCAGTAGTTTATTGATCCAAAAGGAGTTGTCTTTGTCTTTAATTACTCTGCTGAAAACATCAAGCATTCGGCAGACCAAAACTTTAATTGACCAAGGCTCAAGTACTTGAAACTATGAATTATTTTTTTCTTGTACTTTAGGTATAGGAGAAGAAAGGAGATGTTATGTCATGTTTAGGGCAGTTGTCCAGAAAAACAGTTTAAGATGCAAATGACTTAAAGTCCAACCAAAATTGTCAGAGCATAACATAGTATGTGTAAATTAGAAAGAAAGAGGGGGTGGGGGGAAGGGAGGGAGGGAGGGAGAGAAAGAGGAGGCGAAGGGGAGGAAGTTTATTGCTCAGTGTTATTAAAATGGAGAATTTGGATTTCAGCTGGACTTGACCCAGGGCTCAAACATCATCACCACTCTCTGGCCCCATATGATGTTACCCAGCATGTTGTTTTCATTACCACAGTCAATCTAGTTGCAGAAGGATGGCTTTCTTGATTGTTCAGATGGAAGTCACAGTCCTACATGTCATTGGCCCCATGTACCTGATTTGAGTCACGTACCCATGGTTGGTCCAACCCAAATGGCCAGAAGGTTGAAAGGCCCTGATCTAACTCAGTATTTCCCAACTGGGGATGATTTTGCCCCTAGGGGATAGTGGGAAATTCTGGAGACCTTTTTGGCTGTCACAGTGTAAGGGGAAGGTGGGGAAGAAGGGAGCTAGCGTGTGCTACTGGCATCTGGTGGGCAGCTGCCAGAGAAGCTGCTAAATATCCTACTATGCCCAAGATAGCCTCTCACAACAGAGTCCTGTCTAGCCCGAAATGTGAAGTGTCTCATTGAGAAACACTGGTTTGAGGAAAATAGGTCTTTCTTGGTGCCTGGAAGTTAAGAAACAAATCATAGGCACCAGGAAGACTGAAGCTTGGGAGGGGCAGATCATCAACTGAAAATCTGGCTAGTGTTATCCATGACAGAGAAGTAGGGTGTCATGACGGAAAGAAAGTGGGATTTGCCCATATCTTAAGTCGAAGCATGGCTGTGCTCTTATGTTAAATTAACGTTATGAGGCATAGTTTACTCATCTTTCAAATGGATGGGTCCCTACCCAGTGTTGCATGGGGTTTTCCTATGGGAAAATATATGATCTATGCTTCAAAAAAAGATTTTATTGAAATATAAAAGTATTTTTCATTTGTGTTAGTAAAAATTACGCTCTCAGGATCCTAATTCTTAAGGCCAGCAACCTTTGGATAACCTGTCTTCTTTATCTGCAATTATATATATATATATATATATATATATATATATATATACACACACA